TTAGCTCTCATCAGCTAGCCACACCCTTGCTGGGAATCGAACCTGGGCTGCATTACATATTAGGCAGTTATATTAGCCACTAGGCCAAGAGGTTTAGCGGTATATAGATTCAGTTTGATCTATCTTGGTATTTTAATCTTTTTACACATATTCCTCTTCTAAGCTTAACATATTGCAAAAGCAAAGCGTAACTTAACGTCAGTGTTTTTCAACCTTGGCAACTTGAAGATGCATTCGCTGGCTGGGGAATTCTGGGAGTTGAAGTCCAGACATCTTCAAGTTGCCAAGGTTGAAAAACACTGACTTAACGAAACTATTTGAGAAAATGCAGGGGGAAAAAAAACAGCAGAAAACAATGACATCATTTTCTCCATCATACAGGTCCGCGGTTACCTTTGCGAATATATCCTACGATACCGCCAAGAGCCACGACCAGCCCGTAACCAAATCCAATCCAATCCACACTCATGGTGAACAGCCTGGAAAACAAAAACAGAATGGCCAAATGGACATGCTAAAACGATATTTAAGAGGGAGGGAGGGAGGAGAGGATGATTGTGTCACAGAAAGCAGCAACTTGTAATTAACCACGGCGATCTCAGAAAGGTCAGCACGAATACATTTAGTATTTCCCAAGGCTAGCTATTTATTTTTTAAATAGCAGGAAAAAAGGTGATGGGAATTCACACTGTCACCAACCAAAAACAGTGTGAATTGTGGCGATGTAGTTACGAGGAATTCAACTCAACAGGAGGGAAACCAGAGAAAGATTTTTAGGAATGCCCCAACAATCATCCAGCAGTAAAAATGAAACCAGATCTTCTGAGAAAAACCGATCGGAGTTGTGGGAGGTATTAATTAAGTCGCCGGTTTGTGTAAGGATTAGAGGACTGTAAATAGATAGCCTTACCCTGTGCCCAATTTTGCAATGGAAGATGGGGCAATCCTTTCCTGGCTTAATGCCAGCTCACGTGCTGTGGCGAAACGTGCAAAGCTCATTTATACCAGAAACCTTCCAAGCTTTTGGCTTGCCTGGATCCCATTGAGTGAAGAGGAATTGTCTTGGGCCGCATATAAAATATAGTAAAATAATGTTCACAATTAACAAACTTCCTTTACTGTCTTGTGAGGCCGCATGAATTGGATATGCCTGCTTTATATCCAAAGGGCACTGCAAATTCTTGCTGCACTTGGGAGTGTATTCAGCCTGGGTCCAGGCAAAATTATTATTTGATGCCCAAAGAATTCCATAAACTTCTTTTGTTCCTTGTTCCCTTAGTTTCTTAGGACTTATTCCAAATTCCATGCGATCATGTCACAAAGCTGGTGTTAGCAAGATTGAATCCAGTATTGGGATCAAACTGATCTTCTTCCCAGTAGTTCTAATTCCCTAGGTTCTTTCTTATGGCCTATTTCTTCTCTTGGACCAAGGCAATACCTAATAAAACCAGATCCCTTGGATTTCTCCATATCGTTTTGTAAGATGCCTGAGTCACTTCGGTAGTCGAATGGGCAACATATAAATTTTATGAATAAAGTTAAATGCACATGTAATTGTAGTACACTACAATTAAGGAATGATATAAGGGTATCGATATTTAAATACACATGGCATCCCTTCTTCAAGCTAAGTAAACCTCTTCCCTTTGGCATCTGTTCACTGACTTCCTTTTCACTTTGATTTTTGCGTATCTGATTCCAAGCCTTGGAATATAAGGGGTGCTGGGTAGTCTTTTACAAACTTTCGCAAGTTTCCTCTGTTACATAATGGGAGTGGCCATAGTAGCAATAGCAATAGCAGTTAGACTTATATACCGCTTCATAGGGCTTTCAGCCCTCTCTAAGCGGTTTACAGAGTCAGCACATCGCCCCCACAGT